GCATTTAAATTCCAAACTGCCACGCATGTTAACCTTGAGAGAATCCCGAACGAGGACTCCCAAGTCACTTTGTGCTTTGGATTTCCAAAGCCTTCCCCTATAGATATTAGTCTATGCTTCTATTCTTCCGAGAAAACTACATACCCTCACTTCCCAGATTCTCCTAGCTTGTCTGAGTCCTTCTGCAGCCTCCCCACCTCCTCAACATTACCTGTTCCTCTACTATCTTTGATTCATCTGTAAACTTAGCAACAATGCCCTCAGTTCCTTCGTCCAGATAGTTGTTATAACGTGACTAGTTGAGGTCCCAACACTGACCCCTGCAGAGTTTCACGAGTCACTGGCTGCCATCCTGAAAAAGACCACTTTGTCCCCACTCGCTGTCTTCTGCCAGTCACCAACTGTTTATCCATGCTAGTATCTTTTTTAGCAACTTCCTGAACAGCACCTTGTCGAAGACCTTCTGGAATCCAATAGGTCACTGCTCATTACCTCCTCAAAGAATTCTAATAGATTTGTCAGGCATGACCACCTGTTGACAAAGCCATGCTGGCTCAGCCCTATTTTAGATTCATTTCCAAGTACTCCACAATCTCATCCTTAATAATGGACTCTAAAATCTTACAGAGGTCAGGCTAACTGGCCTATAATTTGTTGTCTTCTGTTTCCCTTCTTAAAAAGGAGTGTTTAATGAGCCATTTTCCAGGCCACCGGGACCCTTCCTGAATCCAGCAGTTCCTGAAAGATCATCCCTAATCCCTCTACACAGTCTCCTCAGCTATCTCCTTCAAAACGCTATGGTGTAGTTGATCCAGTCTGGATGATTGATCTACCTTCAGACCTTTCAGCTTCCCCAGCAGCTTCTCCTTAGTGATGGCCACTACAATCACCTCTGCTCCCAACTCTCAAAGTTTTGGTATGTTGCTGGGGTCTTCCACTGTGAAAACTGATGCAAAGTACATTTTCAGTTCCTCTGCCTTTTTTTTTGTTCCCATTACTACTTCTTGAGCCTCATTTTCCAGCAGTCCAATGTCCACTCTTGGCTCTCTGCCATTTTTTTAAAAGAAATATCTAAAAGGTAAAACTTCTTTCATATTACTAGCTAGCTCACCTTCATATTTCATCTTCTGTTCCCCTTACTGCTTTTTTAGTTGCCCTCTGCCCATTTTTAAAGGTTTCCCACTAAGCTTCACTACATTGTATGCTTTTTCTTTTGCTTTTATGTTGTCCCTGACTTCAATTGTCAGCCTTGGTTGCCTTGTCCTCCCAATGTTTCTTCTTCCTTGTAATGAATTTCTACTGAGCCTCTCAAATTGTCCCCAGAAAGTCCTGCCATTGCTACTCCACATCTTCTGTGCTAGGTTCCCCTTCCAATCAACCTTGGCCAGCTCCTTCCTCATATCTTTGTAGTTACCTTCACTCAATTGTAATATTGTTACATCTAATTCCAGCTTCTCCCTTTCAAACCACAGGGTGAATTCTGTCATGTTATGGTTACTGCCTTAAATGTATCATATTATGGTCCTTCACCTTAAGCTCCCTAATCAAGTCTGTTTCATTACACATCACCAAATCCAGAATTGCCTGTTCCCTTTGGGCTCTACCTCAAGCTGCTCCCCTGCAAAAACTCCCTTCTAAACATAGATGTTCCATGAATTTCTTTTCTCAGGATCTGCTACCAACCTGATCTTTTCAGTCCACCTGCGTATTAAAGTCCCCCCATTATTATAATAATGCCTTTTTTTTATATGTCCCTTTTCTCTTCTGATTTATTTTCTGCCCCACATCCTGACTACTGCTAGGGTGTGTGTATACAACTCCCATCAGGATCTCTTCATTTGCAGTTCCTCATGCTACATGCACAGATTCTACACTTTCCAACCTCATATTGTTTCTTGCTATTGATTTAAATTTCATACTAACCAAGCAACCCTGCCCCTTCTGACAATCTGCGTATCCTTTCGATACGATGTGTAACCTTGGATATTTAGTTCCCAGCCCTGATCCCTTTGCAGTCACTTCTGTGATGCCACAACATTGTATCCGCTAATTTCAATCTGTGCAACAAGCTCGTTGTGTATTCTGTGCACATTTAAGTACAACAGTTTCAGTCCTGCGTTGACCACCTCCACATATCTGCGGTGTCTGAAGTTAGATTCCTGACCTTTTCCCTGCTGTCTATCCTACTACCTGTTCTGAAAACTTTAATAACCTCTGCTGAGCCCTCTTCCACCTTTTGAAGTCCTCAATGATCACTCCATTTCTGCTAGGATCCTGGTCCCAGATCAGTTCAGGTGGAGCCCAGCCCAACAGTACAGTGTCTTCCTGTGCTAGTACTCATTGCCAGTATACCACAAAAAATATAACCCCTCTTTCCTGCATTACTCCCAAAGTCCTTTTCCTCATCCACACAGGAAGTAAGTACCTCATATCTATTGGGCAAGATCAAGAATGGAGGCTCCGCCAGTACTAAATTCAGGATCCCTATACCTGCCTCATTTGTAGTCACACCCTCTCATTCCTGACCACTGGCCAAATTTAAAATACTTAACGTACAGGGTGTGACTTTCTCCTAAAACAACTTCCAGGTAACTCTTCCACCTCCCTGATGTGTCAATTTTTTTATTTCAAAAATATACTTTATTCATAAAATATCTATATGTATGCAATCACAAATGCAGTTTGGTTCTGTACAGTATCATATCAAAAGAAACGAACAAACAAAGGCATCTCTTACTTGCAGAAGACTATGTTTGCCAGCATTTGAGGCATCGGGAGGATCCGATAACTGAATGGACCCCATTTAACTTTGGCAGAAAGACCTCAGACAGTGGTTTTTCTCCACCGTACCTTGGCAGCAGCTGTGCATCTCTCAGTACATAGTTCTGGACTTTGGATTGTGCCAGTCTGCAGTATTCAGTCAGGGTCAACTCTTTGTTCTGGAAGACTAACAAGTTTCAGGCAGACTAAAGAGTGTCTTTCACCAAGTTGATGGTCCTCCAGGCGCAGTCGATGTTTGTCTTGGTATGCATCTCGGGGAACAGACAGGAGAGCACAGAGTCCTGTGTCGTTATTATTTTTAATTTCAAAAATAGAATTATTCATAAAATACATATGTACGCGCACACAGTCACAAACACTGTTCAGTTCTGTGCAGTAGCATATCAAGGAAACAAACAAACAAACATTGGCGTTTGATTCTATCCAAACAAACCAAAGGCATTTCTGGAGAGAGCAAGCTAACGTTTCGTGTCTAGATGTCTCTTCAGAACTCTGATAAAAAGTCATCTAGATTCGAAACATCACCTTGCTCTCTCTCCACAGATGCTGCCCGACTTGCTGTGATTTCCAGCCTTGTTTGTTTTCAGTACAGATTCCAGTAATTTGCTTATACAAAGGCATCTCTTACTTGTATAAGACTCTATTTACATGCATATGAGGCATTGGGAGAGTCTGATAACTGAATGGGTTCCCACTTAACTTCAGCAAAAGGACCTTGGAGGTCTTTCCCCACTGCACCTTGGCGACAGCTATCCCACTGTATTTGACGCTCAGATTTTAGTTTATCAACTTTAAGCTGTAGTTCCCCGAGCAACCAACACTTGTTATAGATGTAGTCAGTACGAACCACAATAAAGTCCACCAGCACCCACATCATAGGGGTGCAACATATCACTAGCTCTGCATCTCCAAATTATTTAGTTTTTAGTTTTTATTGGTTTTTAATTTTTAATATGGAAAATATTTCTCCAATTTACCTTTAATTTGAAAGGAACATAGAATAGGTATACAAATTAGGAGTTACTTGCCAACCAATGAACTTACAGCTTTTCCTGTGGTGTCACTTTTTTCACTGTTTCTGATCCCCGAGTCTCTTCCCCTATTGCCTGTCCTTTTTCTGGCCTTCCACGTAAGTGTGTAAGCCTCAAGTCTCAATTTTTACTTCCTGCTCAGTCTCAGTGTCCTCCCCCACTACTTATCCTCCTACTTATCCTTATGCCCCAAATTCCCAAAAACCTGACTTGGATATTAAAGAGCAGAAGAACTCTCCAATGAGAGAAAAGGAGGGATTGATCATTTCCTCCCTCTTTCAACCAACTCCCTGTTTCACAAAACATCAGTTACGATCTAATGCACCAAAGCAACACTCTGAAGGAGCTTTATTTTTATGGCCCCTAATTCAAAGCCTCCTGGCACTAGATTAAATTGTTGTCTCATTTACTAGCTTCAGATGAGCACCTAAATTATTCCTTAAAATTTACCCCTTGAGTCTCCCTCTTTCACCATAATTATACTCTATGCTCTAATGCAACAAAGCAGTACTCCCAGGTTAGGATTAATAGAGAACAAAAACGGAAGTTGCTGGAAAAGTTCAGCAGGTCTGACTGCCAGATCTGCTGAGTTTTTCCAGCAACTTCTGTTTTTGTTCCTGATATACAGCATCCGCAGTTCTTCTGATTTTTTTTTTGTTAGAATTAATAGCTACACATCACAGGTAGTCATATTATTAATTATTTCTGTCACTGAAATGAATTAGGTGTGCAATTCACTTTCCTTTGGTTGTTTGTTGAGTTGTTTAAGTTACCAAGGTGTAAAACAAATCATCCAACTGAAATTACAATATGCTACTTGTTTGATGATTGCACCAATGAATGATTGATGGTTTTGTCTTTCCCCAGTTGTACACTTTATTCTTCACTTCCAATCTCTCAAAGAAATTTCTGATGCAATTAATCTGTAAAGTCAAGTAACAGGAAACTAACTACATCTAGTTAGATCCCAGAGACTGTTCAAGTACTGTCACAAAACAGGGAACCCTTTTTAAGAATGCAGGAAAGTTCCATTAATAGCACAATATACCTCAAAGGCATAAAAAACAGACAAGTCCATTGTTTAAAGCATGAGGGAATTTTGTTTTCATTATATTCTGTTCAAAAAATAATTACATAATATTTTGTTCGTAAAGATGAAAATTAAAAGCTATGCATCTCTAATTTCAGCACCTGGTTCGTACATTTCCAGTTGTTGAAGAAAATGTACGAAAAGCCATGGGAGAAACACTCTTTGAATTATATATGGTAATTCTTTAATCATCTTAATTATAGTAATTTATGACAACAATTGAGTTGAACTTTATTTCTTTTCCAAACTTTCTTTTCTTTGATCACTTTATAGTTGCCCTTTTTTCTGAAATATAGAGCTGTACAGCAGTTCAGTACATAGGCATTTTACATAGATAAAACTGTTTTGAAATCATTTGTAGGTAATATTCTGTTGCACTATATGATTTACCTTTAACAAGTAGTGTGAATAGTTAGTTACTTCTGATCATGTGTCTTTTTAATATTTCCTCTTTTCAAAAGAAAAATTTTTGTCCCTTGATTGCTTAGAAGGTACAGCTTTCATCTATTGTAGTATGGATGCAGACAACCTCCTACATTTGATCAGGTCTTTCCTAAATTAGCTGAGCTCGACCTGGTACTCTGTTACCTTGCAGTGGGCAGGGGAAAGGACTCTTGGGCCTAAGTGATTTACAGTGACCCCTGCTGGAATCTATTGAAAATATTTCCCAAATTAGTAATAGGTCATGCTTTTGACATGAGCAGGACAGTAGGAAAAAAAGCACTCTAAGGCACTTCAAATAATAGACTTAAATCCTAGTGTACAAATATGTTCATCCATTTGCTCTGTTGTTGTCATATGACAAAATAACATTTGAGGATGTGAAGGAAGGAGAAGAAAATATCATGACCAATCTCTTTTCACAATGTTGAGGATACTGTTTACTAATACAGATTTGCAGTAGCCATTGAGTGATACATACACTGAAATTCATTCAGTATATCAAAGAACCTATCTTTGAACCAAAAAAAATGAAATATAGAAAACCAACCTATTAGAAAATAAGTAATCATGACAAAGAGAGAATAGTGATTTTTTTTTGTCTTGAACTTACATATGTATCCTTTTAAATCAATATAGACAGATCCAGGGAGTTTCTACTTGAAGATGGACTCAATCCAAGCTGCTGTTTTGGTTGGAAACAAAATCAATATTCCAGGAAGTAAGGCAGAGTTAATGTTGTGTAATAAGCAGAAGAAATACACATTTCACCAGTTGAATAATTGCATTAATATAATAATTGATTGTCATTTACCCCAACAGTTGAAGAAGGACCAGAATAAAACCCATGTCTTCAGGTGTAGCATGACAAGAAGGAGTTCCTTTTTTAAGCTAAAGTAAAAGATGAATGCATCATTTTTATGAACTGATTACATTTTCAAATAGACTTAAGGTAGATGGAACAAAGCAGTGCTTGGATTAGCTCAATGACTTTCTAATTCCATTTTAAAATGTAGTGAAACTTCTTTCTAACTATTAGTGATTAGCATGCTTTATCGACTGTACTTGAACTGACTTTAACAATGTGAATATGAGCCATTGGTTTATAACCAGCACTGTACACCATTGGAGTGATTAAAATTCAATTTCTTAATTATTTCTGAGTATTTGTATCAGTTAATTTCTGGTATTAACTATCCCATCGTTTCTGTCTTTGAACCTGTTAAAAATATTTAATATAAGTAATGTTTAACTGTTAAAATGTGTAACTGTTGTTGAATATTGATACTCAAGTTTGCTTTTGTAGGGACGTTACTCAAAATATTTTATCAATGCTTTCTAATTTGTTTTTATGGACTATGGCTAGGAAGTGGGTTCATGCTGGAAAATGGTGAGCTGTGGATGCCAGTTGGGTGTACTAATGCCAGTTTCAGGGGGAGGCAAATTAGAGTGGGACAAGTATGCCTCAGCAGCGTCTTGCAGTACTGTTGTGCACAAACGTTCCTGATTCTGGTGACAGAAAATAATAAGTGCTCATGTTATGCCACAGTGGATTAAATTACTAATTGAAGTCCTTAACGAATTAGTGTTACTATAATTATCGTTCCCAAATTGCAACAATGATTTGGAGTCATTGATATAATATGGGTGTTTCTTACTTTTGAAGGGGTGGGTTCAACTTTCACCTCAGAAATTTGGGCACAATTTCTAGGCTCATGCTATGGTGTCATACAGAGGGAATACTGTACACTTGGATATGCTCTCATTTGGGTGAGACATTATGGAACGAACTAGTAGTAAGGCTGTTTTAGGTGTAGTGTTGTGTAGACCCTGAGTTAAATCATAATCTCAAACATTTCCTGGCAAACTCTTGTTTGTGAAATACTTCACTCAAAGAAGAATCTTAAACAGTACCAATTCTGTAGATTTGGGGGAAAGCTTCCTAAGGTTGGTTGGGTAAATAGAGTAAAAAGGTATGATCATGAATAACGTGGGAAATGTTTAAAGAGTCAATTCAGCTGTGGCAACTCACATGGCCAAACAGCCTATTCTCTCCATTGATCTTACAAAACTGCTATCTGTGATGTTCATTGACTTGTTGGGAAACCTGTAATCTGACCTCAAAAATGGCTTCATCTGTTGTCTAACCCACGGCAACTTGAAATACATTGTGTGGAGATGGAAATGTTAGCTAGCTATCATTGATTCCAAACTCGTTTTCATTCCTGAATACCATGTGCCATAATATGATCTAATTTATGAATGGGTTGCTTCACCCCCCATTCAAAATGTGGGAAATCATACGACACCAGGTTATAGACCAACAGGTTTATTTGAAAACACAAGCTTTCGGAGCCTTGGACTCTGAAAGCTTGTGTTTTCCAATTAACCTGTTGGGCTACAACCAGGTGTCATGTGTTTTCTGACCTTGTCCACCCAAGTTCAACACCATCACCTCCACATCATGACTCAAAATATGGACAAAAGTGTATAACTATTTCTGTGAAGCCTCTTTATACTGGTGTAAGAAAGCTGGTAAGGAAAAGCTAGGAAAGTATAGACTGGTGAGCCTGACATCAGTGGTGGACAAGTTGTTGGAGGGGAACTTGAAGGACAGCATTTACATGTATTTGGAAATGCAAGGACTGATTAGGGATAGTCAACATTTGATTGAGTTTTTTGAAGAAGTAACAAAGAGGATTGATGAAGGCAGAGCAGTGGATGTGATCTATATGGACTTAGTAATGCATTCAACAAGGTTCCCCATGGTAGACTGGTTAGCAAGGTCAGATCACATGGAAGACAAAGAGAAGTAGTCATTTGGATACAGAACTGGCTCGAAGACTCTAGGCCTAGGATGGTGGTGAAGGGTTGTTTTTCAGACTGGAGGCCTGTGCCACAAGGATTGGTGCTGGGTCCACTGATTTTTGTCATTTCTATAAATGATTTCTATGTGAACATAGGAGGTATGGTTAGTAAGTTTGCAGATGACGCCAAAATTGGTGGTGTAGTGGACGGTGAACACGGTTATCTCAGATGAGCTGAGGAGTGGCAGATGGAATTTAATTTAGATAAATATGGATGTCCTGCATTTTGGAAAAGCAAATCAGGGCAGAACTTATACACTTAAAAGTAAGGTCCCGGGGAGTGTCGCTGAACAAAGAGACCTTGGGATGCAGGTTCATAGTTCCTTGAAAGTGGAGTTGCAGGTGGACAGGATTGAGAAGAAGGTGTTTGATAGACTTGCCTTTCTTGGTCAGGCCATTGAGTGTAGTTGTTGACAGGTCATGTTACGGCTGTACAGGACTTTGTCAGGCCACTTTTGGAATACTGCGTCCAATTCTAATCTACCTGTTATAGGATGTTGTGAAACTTTAAAAGGGTTCAGAAAAGATTTACAAGGATATTGCCAGGGTTGGAGGGTTTCAGTTACAGGGAGAAGCTGAATAGGCTAGGGCTGTTTTCCCTGGAGTGTTGGAGGCTGAGGGGTGACCCTATAGAAGTTTATAAAATCAAGAGGGGCATGGATAGGGTGAATAGCCAAGGTCCTTTCCCCGGGATGGGGGACGTCCAAAATTAGAAGATGTAGGTTTAAGGTGTTTTGTCTGGTTCCTCTTTAAACAAGTTGCAGACAACTCCAACCAGAAGGTTATGAATGAATTTGCCCAGGTGTCCCACAATACCAAAGCAGTCAAATTAATACAAGTACAAGCCAGTACCAGAGCAAAACATTCCTCCTTTCATTAATACTAAACATACTATCCCTAATCCTTTTTGGCCGCTAATGGTTACAATACTTCCTCAGTACCTTATAAATTTACACAGTTGCTCTCCTTGCAGCTCAATCTCTGGGTCTGAAGAAGGATCTAGGCCCGAAACATCAGCTTTCCTGCTCCTCTGATGCTGCTTGGCCTGCAGTGTTCATCCAGCTCTACACCTTGTTATCTCTCTTCTTCCTCCCTCTGACTGGATGATCACCTGGTCTCTGCCTCTTGCTATGCTGGTCTGCTCAGAAGGCCTCAGACGGTTCCAAGAGAGAGGTCTGCAGATGAACTCTGTTTTTATTCATTTTAGATGGTTTTCTGGAACTTTTGAGTTCTGACCAATCAGGGAGATACACTTAATAGTTCGAAACACGAATCAATCGTTTAGAGATAGCAAGAACTGCAGATGCTGGAGTCAGAGACAACACAGCGGGGCAGGAAAGTTGACATTTCGGGTCAGAACCCTTCAGAAAGGGGAAGGGGAAGGGAGCTGAGAAATAAATAGAGAAAGGGATGAGGCTGGGGAACGTAAGTGGGATGCTGATAGGTGAGTGTAGTTAGGGAGTGGTGGGGATTGGTCAGTGAAGTGGGAAGGGTGGATAGGTGGGAGAGAAGATGGGCAGGTTGTGTCAGGTCAAGGAGGCGGGGATGAGAGGGTGGGTTGGAAATGGGATGAGGCTGGGGGTGGGGATATTTTAAAACTGGTGAAATCCATGTTTAGGCCATGGGGCTGTGGGCTCCCGAGGCAGAATGATGCATCTGCTGTTCCCAGTGTGGCCTCCTCTACATCAGTGAGACCAAGCAGAGACCTGGAGACTGTTTTGTAGAGCATCTGCGCTCTGTGCACGACAAACGACAACCATTTTAACTCCCTGGGTGACATGTCCATCCTGGGCCTCCTCCAGTGTCACAGTGACACCACCCGGAAATTGGAAGAGCAGCACCTCATATTCCACCTCTGGAGCCTACAGCCGATAGCCTAAACATGGATTTTCACTACTTTTAAAATCTCCCCACCCCCGTCTCATCCCACTGATCAATCCCCACCACTCCCTACCTGCACTCACCTATCACCATCTCACCTACCTTCCCCAGCCCCACCCCTCCTCTCTCTATTTATTTCTGAGCTCCCTTTCCCCTCCCCATTTCTGAAGAAGGCTCCCAAACAGAAATGTCAACTTTCCTGCTCCTCTGATGCTGCCTGGCCTGCTGTGTTCCTCCAGCTCCACCCGGTCAATCATTTAGATGGCCTGCTACTGTCAAGTTTCTTTGTGTAGCAGGACCCAGTGCCTTTCTGTCTGGGCTGCCCTTTGTTTGGCTAAATTGTTGGGGTGTCTGTGCAGACTGTTGGCTTTTACATTATGCTAATGTCATTAGCATCTGGATGCTGTATTTGCACTATGTCAGGTGTGTGGGTTTTGTGATTTCACAGTTTCACTTGACCAGTGTACCCAGCATCCCTTGCTGTTTGGCCAAGTTGGCAATCTGTGTTTTAGCAGCCAGGAGGCTGCTACAGGTGAGGGGGGAATATTTAAAAGAGACCTAAGGGGCAACTTTTTCACACAGAGGGTGGTGTGTATATGGAATGAGCTGCCAGAGGAAGTAGTGGAGGCTGGCAAAACTACAACATTTAAAAGGCGTCTATCTGGATGGGTATATGAATAGGAAGGGGTTGCAGGGATAGGGGCCAAATGCTGGCAAATAGGACTAGATTAATTTAGGGTATCTGGTCGGCATGGATGAGGTCTGTTTCCATACTGTACAGCTCTATGATTCTAGAGGGGAACATTGTGAATCAACTCAAGCACCTTTACCACATTATTTTGACTAACAGCATGTAAACTTCCGATTTAAATCAGATGATTGATGAACACACCCAAATTACATCATATTTTGGAGTTGATACTGAATCAGAAGTTAACTGAAGAGTTAGAATGTAGTTAGCTTTTGACCCACTACCAATCCTAAATACAATGCAATTTGGATATGTATGTGCTGAAAGAAACTTTGGAATCATTGTGAGGAAAGGAACCAATATTCACAAAGAGCTCCAGCAAGCCAGAAAGTATCCATGCCTTGTATGATAAACATAACCAATGACAATGATCATACATTTTTAAAAATCAGCAAATTCAGGGGCACTTTGACTTAATCTGTTAAAGGAAAGAATGCTATTGATAGTTGGAAGAAGAAAGATTGTGGGATTTTTGTGTGTGCATTCATGTATGCATGGCTATATCTGAAATAAATGTAAGTTTGTATTTTAATATTGACGTGAGATTAGATACTGCCATGCATGGTTTTAAAGTTAAAGTATATTCCGATATGTGAAAGTTCATTTTTGAAAATGAATTCTATGTATTTGGAAATGGCATCTATAAGAATACCTCCTTTATTAATAGAACAATAAATGTAAATATACATATGCTTTTGTCGGGAAAAATGGTCGAGACACTATTACCCTTAGACGACAGCAGAGCTATTTGATGGAGAAGTATATCGGATTGAGTGATAGAATTTGCGCCGAATTGTAAAAATAAAAGTCATTCATTTAAAAAAAACACGCTTGGACTCTACAGCATTTATTCCTCACTCTTTACATAGAGTTATGTTTCTTTGTCTCGAATCCATTTTTTTGTTTTGCTTGGTTAACCTTCTATGAGGCTGTTTAAGGCGTTTCCCTATAACAAATGGACTATATAAATGTAGTTGCTCTTCGCCTATTTTAATAACGGCGTCAAAAACGCAATTCCGAGCAGTACATCCCGCACGAACCTGAAAACACAAGCGCTAACTGATCAACCTGGCTACCCAATCAGTGCGGCAGCAATCTAGACACGTGGGTTCTTCACTGCCCCTCCCCCCACCATGCGGTGTGTGCGCGCGGGGTGTTTGTGCAATGCGCCTTGGGAAATGTAGTACTGTTGTATCAGGTGTGGTGGAAGGTGGCTGTTGGGGAATTACATTGCGCGGAACGGTGGATGCCGGACTGAGGACTACATTACCCAGAATGCTCGACGTCGGAGAAGAGAACGACATCATCCAGTATGTTGGTTGGTAAAATGCGTATGAGCTTCTGTGTACTGCCGCCCGCTAGGTTAAAACACTGGTTTTCAAATGGTCCCTAGGGCGAGCTAACAAGTGCAAGTCCTTTATTTGTTTCTGTCCCTCCCTTTATTGTCAAAAACGAAAAAGATAATTCTGGTTGTAAGAGTACAGTTACGTTAGTTGCTGATTTATTTATTTTAGTCGCTCCTTTGAAAACGGCGACTGAGCAACCACCTTTGATGCTGCCAGGACCCCTTGGATCTGTCAGCGCAGGCCCTGAGGTGTCTGCGAGAAATTCAAAGCAGAAAAGCAAGTTAGTGTGTGCAGCCGCTCACCACTCCTCTGAGGCATCGCCATTGTTATTGTCCACGTTGTGATTCGTTCAGGGCGGACGATGCAGCGCTCCCCGTTAATTTAAAGGAGAGTGCGAGAGCTGGTCAAGGAGGAGAAGGGCGCACAAAGAAGGAGGTCTGCCTCAGCTATCATTCTGTGGTGGAGGGAAGCGAAAACTGGTACAGGGTCATCCTGACTGTCATCAACCCCTCCCCTTCTCCCCCCAACCCCCCTTTCTACCTCCATCACGATAGGGCTGCTGGTAAACTGAAAGGGAAGAGCAACAATAGGCTGTAATATTCTTCCCTCCCAGCACTAAAAATGGATCGCGAAAGAGGAGAGAGCGAAGATAATTTAGATTACTCCGTAGCAAACGTCGAAAAGGTAATACTATATATCAGTTTCGTTTATTTGTAACATGTTACCTTTCATCATCCTAATTATGTGTTCGGTGAACTCGTAGCTTG